AATCAAGCAAAACATGATGAAGAAAAACAATCATTACTAAAATCAAATCAAAATCAAAGTATTATTGATTATTTCTAAATAATTATTCATTGATATTTATATAAATAGATCTTAATGATCAAAAAATTAAGAATAATAATAATCTAACAAAATCATTAGGTAATATTTTTTTAATTTAATATTATTATTATCTGATATAATTATATTCATTTAAGGAGTAACTGATTTTCGAAGTGCGTTAAATAGAACTGAAATGAGACTTTTAGCTGAAGAAGAAAACGCTGGACAACGACCTCATATAAATAAAAAGAAATGGAAACAAATAATTAAAGTTAGTTGTTTCAGAAGAATTATATGTAAATTCTCTTGTTTTTTTTTCTCATCGTAAATAATAGAAAGTTCGAAAAAATGAAAATGAAGATTCGACAGATGAAGATGAAGAAGTTCCGCAAGAACCAATTGATGAAAAACCTAAAACAATTATTGGTGTAACACCAGTTGTTGATAAAAAATCTCGATATTTTATGGGAAAAGATTATTCAAATTCTTATGAAAAAGATTTTGAATTTATTGAAAAATTTGATGAAGGTTTTCATTTTATTTCATAGTTAATATTAAATATTTGATAATTTCTTTTTAAAAAGATTATATTGATCGAAAACTTCATCCACGAATGCCATGGCATGATGAAGCATTAGTTGTTACTGGAGAAGCAGCAAGAGATTGTGCAAGACATTTTATTCAACGATGGAATATTCATAAAGTTAATTTTTCTCTTTTTTTTTTTCATTTAAATAATTAAAAATTTCTATTTTATTATTATAAAATAGGCAGATAAATTTCGTTTTAATGAATCTTATCCATATATTCTTCCAAAAGGTTATGATGATAATGAATTATTTGATTCATCAATGCTTTCTCAAATTCTTGGAGAAAATCAAAAACTAATTCGTGTTGATGCTCAATGTGTTCGCTCTGTTTCATTTTGGTCTTGTGGAACACGTACTGTTGAACATTCAATACAAAATGCTTATATTCATATGATTGATAGTGCTCAACATTTTATTTATATTGAAGTCATTTTTAGCTTGGTTTTTTTCTTCAATTTAAAGAAAATTTCTCTATTTAGAATCAATTTTTTATTTCAATTGCTCAAGATACAACAATTAAAAACCTTATTGGTGATGCGCTTTACCGTCGAATAGCTCGTGCTTCTATTAATAAAGAAAAATTTCGAGTTTATGTTGTAGTACCATTATTACCTGGATTTTCAAATGTTAATGCTGTTCAAGCTGTTCTTTATTTTATAATGAGATCAATTAATAAAGGAGAAACATCACTTTATGAAAGATTAAGACGAGATGGTATGTTTTTATTGTTAAGAATAAATTAGATTATTTTATGTATGAGAAAAACCAATTGAAATCGAATATTATTTTACACTTGAATATAAAAACAAATCTTCATCTAAGTTAACTTCATTTTAAAATCATATTCTGTTTGATTGTGGAAAGAAATTTTTTAAAGCTCGATTAAGTTATAGTGTTAAAAGTTAATTATATCTGAGAATACCGGCCGTATGCAACATGTGTGTATTCATAGGACTTAATAGTATTGTCTTTAGATTCTTTAATCAAGTTTTTCTATAACATTCATACTAAGTGTTTTTTCTCCATTTTATTTTGGACTAAAAAACATTGAAAAAGTTCCAGATACATACATCTGTAAAACATTGACTGTGACAAACGACATTTATTAGATTGAATTAATTATTAATGATATGATAATAGAATTTTTCCTTATTGTACAATCTGCTAATCAAGTTCAGATAAAACTGATCAGGCTCAAGACATAAAAAAATAACCAAATAATTTTTATAGAAAAATAATTTCGAAATGAATTTTAATGAGCAGAAATATATAAAGCAGAGATTTCTTTGCTAATCTATCCATTTTAATAAAGCTCTTCGATGATATTTGTAGAAAAGATTAAAAAGCAATTTTTTCTCATACAGATAATAATGATATATGATATATGATATTATCGAAAACAGTATTGATTTTGTGAATATTATTTGATTAAATATCTATCTTTGTTCTTATTAGAGTGCATTCGATTAGAGAATAGTCATTTGATAATAAAATAAATGATCAATATTATCTAATAAGAATGAACAAAATTTTGTAAAATCTTCGACTAGTTTTTACAAAACTTATTTAAATCTTTTTCATAACACAACTTTGGTTGTTAATCCAATTGTTTACTAATAGTCTCATTCCAAAAATTATGAAAATAATCATAATAATTGAATAAGTTAGAAAAAGAAATTGACTTGATTATCAATTAAATTTGAAGATGTTTATAAATAAGTTGAATAAGTCTAAACTATAAATAATTTCATTATATTTTGTTTGATTGAATATTTATTGTTGAAAATGAATTAATTAATATAATTTATTGAAATAGGTATATCTAATCCTGAAGATTATATAACATTTTATGGAATGCGTAATTGGGATATATTAATGGGTACATTAGTAAGTATTTTCAATTATTTTATTTGATAAAAATTTAAAAATAAAACTTATTAAAGGTAACAGAAGTCATTTATGTTCATTCAAAATTAATGATTGTTGATGATCGAATATGTATATGTGGATCAGCAAATATAAATGATCGTTCACTTCAAGGTTCTCGAGATTCAGAATTTTGTTTAGTTGTTAATGATCTTGAAATGATTGATTCACAATTAAATGGTCAAAAACAAAAAGTTGGACTTTTTTCTTCAACATGGAGAAAGAAATTATTCAGGTTTGTTTTTTTATTTAATATTATCATAAATTTATTTATTAATTTTTAAAGACAAATGTTGGGTATTAAAAATGAAGAAGAAATGAATGTTGATGATCCATGTTCAGATGAGTTTTATCAATATTTTCGTCAAACAGCAAAAACTAATGCACAAATTTATGAAGAAGTTTTTAATACATTACCTACTAATCATATTAAAAAGTTTGTTGAAGTTGAAGACTATGTTCAACGACCCAAATTGAAAGAAACTGACCCATTAACTGTATGTTAGATATTATTTATTCACTTTTCTATTTAAATTAAATATTTTTACTTTTAATTAAGGCACATGAAAAATGTAAACAAATAAAAGGTTTTGTCGTTGAATTTCCATTAGAATTTTTAGCTGATGATGTTCTAATGCCTGGATGGACAACATCAGAAGGTATAATTTCGAATAGATGATTTTGTATTTAAAATAAATTTATTTTCATTATAGGTATGGCTCCTATTCTCTTATGGACATAAAAGAGAATGGTTCAATTTAATCAAATTATTTTGTAAGAAAAAAAACAAAGTTTGATTATTTTTGTTTACAACAAAAACTTGCTACATCTTATGTTTGCTTTTTACTTTTGCTTTATATTCTGTGAAATTGTTTTTTTTTTACATTTATTCGCAAATTGCACGCATTTATAGGTGCTTTATCTATTAATAATAAATAATTTAAGTAGAATAAAGAATTGTAGACTAAGGAATTCGATGAAATCTTATTTTATTCGGTTGCTTTATAATCCGTCGTTAAGATTTCATATGCATATATTTCAATTATTTAACTTTCAAAAATATTTCAATAGAAAGAATAATTAGAAAGCTGACTTGAGTTATCATATTTAGTAATATGACGATATTGCATTTTCAGTTAACGGTTAAAATTCATCAAAAAACATCATTATCAATAAGAAAACACTCGATTCAAGTATCGAGTATGTCAAGTGAGAGCCGAAAAAATTTTAATAAGTAATGTGTTTGTTATGGTCTTTATATGGAATAAGATCCATGACTGTATCTGAAAATTTTGGCCTTGATAGACTCTATTCTTTGCTCCTTCCTATATAACGAAGTTTCCTTGAATCTCATCAAGGTTTTTCAAGTTCAATCATGACTTAAAAAGTCTTTTCAAAACTGGAAATCATGTCAGAATGTTTCTCTTTAATTTGTTATGTTCGCTCTGAGTCAAAATCTTGAGAATGTGAGTAGCGGAAGAGAATAGTAAATTTCGCAATAAACTTCTTCGAACAATAAATGGTTAGTATAGCTGACAAATAGTTTCATTAAATGGTTTATTCTTTAACTGAACATATGCTTCAATTGATGTTGCACTTAAACAAGCTATTATCAATAATTGATATATTATTGATAATAAGCAGTATCACAAAAAAAATATCAACTTACTTTTTTTCTTTATATTAATCATCATATTATTGATACATGTTTATTATAAAATGAAAGAGCGGTGATCGAATAGAAATTTGCATTGATTCATTCCTCCGCTCTTCACAGGTCGGGACAGACGTTGTAGGTATACTATCAAAGATCGCTTATAAATAACGTCCTATTCTAATATCTTAACAACTTTCTTAGTGCATTTGTGGAAGATTCAATAAAAAGATGATGAAGAAATGTGTTCAAAAATACATAGAATAGAGCAATCTTCTTTCGATTAGAAAGAGCAGCTACGTTGTGTTTCACATTTTAATTCGATAAGGATTGTGCTAATAGCTTTTCTATATTATTTAAATATGAATTTGATAGAGTGACAAACAATTGATTACGTTTTGATTTGTAATTGTATCTTAAGCAAATTCTTCATTTAATATAAGTTTCTAATAGGAAATAAAAATATTTGAATTATATTCTGTTAATCTACATACATTTATAAGAGAATACTCAAGACTTTAATAGTATGTTTTTCAGATATTTTAAAACGAATGAATAAACCGTTGAAAACTTGTTCAAGTGACCTTTTACATCGAAATCTTTAAGATATTTATCAAAGACGTAAAATTATTTAATATTATTTTATAGAAGATTACTAACTCTTTGTTTTTTATTTAATTGCTTATAAAAAAAAGAACTAAAAAAGTGAATTGATTGATAATTTAAAAAAACTAATAAGTAAATAAAAACATAGAGAAAAAAAATGTTCATTATGACGAAATCAATTTGAAAGTAAATTGTTTATTAAATTGACTGATTGTTGATTCCTCTTTACTTTGACTTAAAATTAAATCAGGTTTTGCTTGATTATTTAAAGTAATAAAAAATTTTTTCGAAAGATTTATTGTTTGAAAAACAACAGTATCAGTTTGATGATCAAATAATAATTTAAATGTAGCATCCTGTTTAAATAAATGAGAATTATCATTTTTTGATATTTTTATTTGAGCATCTTCATGACGTATATACCAATTTGGTGATGATAATGATAGAAATGATACATAAACTGAATATGGATCTAATAAATTCAAACCTTTTTTCATGATAAATAAACTTTTATCATTTGTTGACATTGATATTAATGATTGATTATCATTTGAACGAAAATATTTTGTTGATATATAACGACCGTCAAATGTTGATTGAATAAATAATGCTTTTTCGATATATTTAACAGTTCGATCTGAATTTATCACATAAATAAATTTTCAAAAAGAAGAAAAGAAAAACGTCAAACTTACATAAAGCAACATTGTGAATATAATAGAGAATCGGTTCTTCCGATGGACTTATATTTGACAATGAGAATTTTAATGATGAATTTGGTAAATCACCAAATAGATTTTTATTTGATGTTATAAAATTAACTTCAGCTGTTTGACATATATCATCACAATATGAAGAAAAATTAATTCCAACAAATAATTCCAACATATAATTACATATTAATTTATTAGTATTGTTCATGTCTCTGAAGACAACAAAACGTTTTTTTTTTATTAAAACAAAAACAAGTTTTAGTCGTTCTCACTAAACTTTCATAGATTCGACTAAACTAATAGTGCTATGAAATGATTTTCAGACTAAACCAACTCTATTAAAGTTGTATTTGTCGAAATACGTGTGCTCATTTTCATAAAACATAACCTTTAAGATCGCAAGGGAATCCGGATTTCAATGTTGATTGTTTTATCATTACAAAAGTAGATTTTCACCTCAAACTTAGTTATGATTTTAATAACTTTTAATCGACATGTCAGGTAAATATGCTTCACTAGATGACAAATATAAATTAACAAGTAGATGTGTAAGCCGATGAGTTGATCGGTGGCGCCTGATAGAAGGAACTTTTTTTTATTCATAGCGGCTGCGACTTGAGAGGTTTAGCTAATCGGTGGCGGTGACTCAACATTTTCGACGACATTTTTTACAAGTTTCTTGGTTCTGAGAGATTTTGAAATGGAAAAGATAGAAAATGCTAGTAGAGAACTGATTGACTAGGAATTAGACAACCCATATAAAACAAAGAAAAAAAATCTGGTTTTAGTCTAATTCGAATTCGACTATTCAATATCTAATCGATTTTGATATCGGTGGTTGTAAAAAGTGCTTTTCTCGAGTTTTAGTTACGAAACTCAGATTTCTTTAAGTTTCTCAGACTTCTCGGCTCAACAAACGGCAAACACAACTCTAGACTATTCTTTGACGCACATGCCCCTACTTTGAGTTACTGTACCAAAAAGTATTATATTCATACAGCAAAAAAAAAGGTTAATATCAGCCATTTCATGTCACAGCGGCGACGCAGCTGGATCTCCTTAACACCGGTGGCGGCGACGGTGACTTAGCCATTCGGCTTACATCTCTATTACCAAGCGATTCAAAAAAACCAATTCTAAAATAATTCAGTTTGTATGAATAGTTTCGGTGGCGTCTACCAAGATCTACGATGGAAGTGACGGTAGCAACAGACACAAATATAAAGTGAAGCTCTGTTAAATCCTTAAAGATTCGAATAAACCGTTATATATGTCGATAGAATTTCTAAATGAATGTTTTCTATAGAATGTATTGAAATTATCAATTACTTTTGTAATTTATTTTCAAGATGATTTTATTTGAAATTAATCATCGATAGAAAAATTAGTTAGAAAATCATATTAAAATCAACTAGAAAATACTACACCTTAAAACGATTAGAAAAAAAAACTCCGAATTCCATTGATTATTCTGATTAATTTCATTTGTAATCGAATAAAAATAATGCACAAAAAAAATTGATTTTATTTAATTTTTCAAGGCAATCTATAATAGAATTATAAACAATTTTTCTTCGATTGTCGATCGACTAAAAGAAATATTTAAAAACAAATATAACCGAAATTAATCAGAATAATCAAAGAAATTTTTATTTTTGATTAACTTTTTTATAATAATAATCAATTCTGAATGGATTAATTATAGATTAACGGTGAATAATTTTAATTAATTTTATTTTTTTAATATTCGTCTATTTTTTACATATGTAATCCGATAAGAACTTATGAAAAGAATATTTTAATTTTAAATTAACTAATTTTGATACTTTGCTATCTTATTTGGTATGACAGTAGTGCTTTAAAGTATCTATAGAGTGACAATATTTGATATATTGCTGTAACTTATTTCAGCCATTGAAAAAAAAAACAGAACTATTCGAAGTGTTTCATAGAAATAATAGGAATGTGTTTGATTTTGAAAATGAAAAAAAAAAAGGTTCGAATTTTCTATTTACTTGATTCTTTTAGATGATAGAAGTGTTGCATGAATTCTAAGAAGATCCAACTGAATTTTGACATTTCGAGTTAACATTCCATTAAGCTCTTGAGCAGTCTAAACAAAGTAAAATTTAATAAAAAAACAAAATTTAAAAATAATCAATAATTGTTTCACCATTGTTTGAATTAAATCCATGACTTTTTTACTATGAAATATATTAAGTGGTTGACATATGGCTTGTTCAATTGTATAATCAATTCGAAAATAATGATCATAATTATCTTTTTTTATGAATAGTTCTTTTTCGATTGGTTTTCTTATTGAAGAACTACTTTCAATATGTAAATATTCCTTTGAGAATTTTTTTCTTATAAAAAAAAAACAAAAAATCTAAAAACAAACAAGAAAAATATTCTTACATGTATGTTTCCAAATTGGATGAATCTCGTTTAGATTCTTTTGATTTATATTTAGTAGAAATAATGAATAACATGAATATACCAAGAAACAGATTAATCGTTGAAATAAAACCACTAAAAGTTGACATTCGTCGACGATTAAATAAACTATACAAACATTTTTTAAATTATTTTTATTTTTTAAAATAAACAATTATATTACAAGAATTTTCCAAAGTATCGTGCCATTACTCTTTTTGATTAAAGAAAAATAATAGAAATCAAATCTGAAATCTATATTAATAAAATAATTCACAAATGTTTAACAAATAAAAAGTATCAATTATGTTGTTACTATTTAAATTTAAAATCTTCATTAAATTATTTTTATTTCAAGAATATTTAATGAAAAATAGGTGGCTGTATGATTACAATTCTCAATTTTATCATTATAAACAGAATCTTAACTATGAGTGCAACAAATTTAGGATAGATTTGGGATTTGGAAGATGAATTTCATTTTGAACTAAATCTACATAGATAGTTTCCAATTTTATGATTGATACTGAAATGGAAACAATTTATATTATATTTGTCGAAAATCAAATCGAAATCTAATCTCAAATCCAAACCAAATAATACTAAACTTCAAGGCTTTGGATTTGTTACACACCTAATCTTATCGAAACTTTTCTTTCTTTTACAAGTCGAACAATGTTGGACTGTGATTATATAATTTTGTTTAATTGCTTTAAACATTATTATGATATCCAATCCATAACTTTTGTTAAGTTTTCTCTCTTGTTACCAAACTTTTATTTTAAGGTTCCTCCTGTCAAAAATCTATTTTCTTTCCAGAACAACCGATCTAGCTGAAATTTTCAAGAAATATGGATGTGGGTCGAGAGAGTTTACAGTAAAAATTTCAGCTCGAAATATAGAGTTCTTCAAGAGTTCTCTCTATAGTAAACGTCAAAAAGTAGGTGTCCATGTGTCTCAGATTTCTTCCTCCAAATTTTTATGATACAGATTTTGCATGGGTGTCAAGATGTATTGAACACTTGCTACTGCAACTTAACAGAGTCCGATTTTTTAAAATTCTTCTTTATTAATTTTTCGTGTCAGTGTTCCTCGAAATGCTCATAAAAATAGAGGTACCCCTATGAAAAAAGGTCTATTTTTCTCAAAAATTAGATCAAGAATAAAAAATCCAACTCTGTTTAAATTGCTGAGCACAATTTTCTCTTCAATTTAAAATCTTCCTGAGCTTTCTAGCACGTAAATAAGCTGAGAAATCTGGAATTACGAACAAAAAAAAACCTCGTTCTGAGAAAAACAGCAAATAAAATTGAACTTTGGAAATCCAACTTTTTTTCTTTCGTAGAGCAATGTAGAAAGGTCAAAAATTTCAATTTATGACAGGGACCTTAAAGAGATCTTCTTGAAAAAGCCTTCTGCTAATCGAAGTTTTTTTTTCTGTTTTTATCGCTTTGATATGTTTATTTTTCTTAAGGTAAAATGTTAAGCCAAGTAAAAATAAAATATAGAAATCACAAAACGAAATATAATTTAAAAAAAGATCGAATTTTCACCAAGAGATTCTTAAAACCTTTTTGGTTTGTTTTACACTACAATGGAATTTTCTATTAATATCACATCAATTAAAGTCAAAAATCATTGGAAAAATCAATCAAATTTCGATAGATTTAATTTTAATCGATTAAAGGTGTATTATTTTAACCAAATAAAAATTCATTTTTTTGTATTAAGCCTTTCTACATATCATTAACTTTTTTGGTTCATTTATATAAATATTAGTCAATAGTTTTCATTTACTTTCATCCAACGTAAACTAATTCAAATTTAAAAAATATCCACTGTGTAACACTTTTTGTAATCAAAATCATAACGATCGTTGAGATAACAGAGAAAAGGTGCATTTTTCGTATATTTCTCTCTCGTGTCTGGAAAAAATTAATTTTTCGTTTCTCTTTAATCGAACCTTAACAATCACTGAATCCGATCATTTTTGTTTAATGAATATTTTGCGAATCTGATGTACGCGTTATTTGTTAGTGAATTCTATGAATAAACAAAGTTAAGCAAAATAACATATTTAGAAACGACCACTATCTGTGCTAAACTCCTAGTTTTCAAGTTGATCTATAATATATTTTACGACTGTTCATTATTTAGATATGATAAAGGTAGGTTATTTCTCCTCAATTGATTTTATTCGAGTAAATCTTTGGTATTTTTTTTTCTTTATTACTAATATAAAAAAAGGAGCTACAGACAATAATTAACTTGTTTAATCCTTTTCGGCCCATAGCTAAACCAATGGATGAAATTTCTTGGAGACTTTATATTTTATATGGACATTATGCATTGTTGATATTTTCATCATAACGTTGTAAAAAATCTTTAAAGTCATTATCGATCCATATCTGTACTCCCCCACAGGGATGGCGAAGAAGTATTTTGGTCATCTCTGTGGGAGTGTACGGGTATGGGTCAAAATTTGATTGATTGCTGTCGTCAAAATCAACCTTTGAAATATCACTAGAGCTACTTCTAACTTGATTTCAACACGAAAAATCGAAGTATTTCGCGGACCGCAGCAGGGCATTATCCGCCCTTTTTCTTTTTATAATAGAAGTGGTGTTCTAAAGATCCATCAAGCTTACTACCAGAGTGAGCTCATTAGGGTGATAACTCTTGTATGGATGTACGCACTGAAGTCTTGTTTATGTTACAGAGAAAACCACACTTCGATGTCATCTTGCGCTCGCAAGTTATTCAAAGATTAAGAAACTTTAAAAAAACCGTACTACATTTAGTATGGTGGGCCTGAAAGGGTTAAATCAACGGATTCAGTGATGCCTATAATTTATTTTCTTCTAGAAAAATGAACAATTAACCAAACACTGCTTTAGCTTTAATGTCAATTATTACTGTTGGTGTTTATATGAATGAATAGTTCTTGATCGAGGAACAATAAGTAACTATGATCTGGACTTTTTTTATCAAATGATATTGCTTTTTGATAGTAAACATTCGTTATATAACTAATCGAATTTAAAAAAACAACTAATCATTTATTTATCCTGTCACCAAATTTGTTAGTATGAGTTTTTTAATAAGATACTCGCAATTCGAAATTTGAAAAACATTTTTTACCGATTTTTTTCTGTAACACTTGATTAGAGCTCATCAAACTTCAATATATAAATGTTGTTGATGTTTTTATAGTGAAACTTGAGAAAATTATTTCAAAAACATATGATCAATTTATATAAATATTAAAATATGCAAAAAAGAACAGCAACTCTCGATAGTCTTGATATTTATCAGAATAGTTTTGATTTACTAATCATATAATGAGAAAGCAAATGATGCTTGCTTTTTGAAATATTTTTTTTTATGGTTGAAAAACTCGATTTTATCGATAAGATAGAAAAACTCGATAATTATAGGTTTGTATTTAGAGGTTTTCATTATCAGAAGTTCAGTTCCAATATTATACTGAGAATCTGTAGAAAAATCTGTATCGAATAGTATACTCAATATTGAAAACTAATTTTCGAGCTTAGGGTAAGCACAGATGGGGCTGTTACGAAAATAACAGTGATGATATGTAACCATCGAAATTTGACGAAAATTTATTTTAGGTATTGAGTCTATTATTCAATACAGAACTTTGTATGAATTCTCAATATGATGTTGAAATTTAAGTTCTGATGGTGAAAGTCTCTGAATATGAACTCGTATTTATCGCGTTTTTCATCGTATAGATAACATCGATTTTTTTCAACCATGAAAAAGTATATTTCGCAGACAAGCATCATTTTTGTCCTCATTATATAATGAGTAAATCAAAAATATTCTGATAAATATCAAGGCTATTAGACTTGATACTGTCGGCATATTTCTATTTTTACAGGCTTTTCTCATTTTTTTAAAGCTAATTTTCGTGAATTTCTCTAGAAAAAAAATTGTTTGACTATGTAAAAAATCAACATTCCTATAGATACCTCAACAAGTTCTATCTAGGTATGACAAAGAAAAGCGGCAAAAAAAGATATTTTTCAGATTTCGAATAGTGGTAACCGTTCCATAGCAGTGTATCGAATACAATAAAAGAACATACAATTACCGAAAGTATATTTTGTGAAAGGTTCAGGGTAACGTTTTTCATGTTACCGTTCTGTTCTCTGACACTGGGTTAATAATTGTATATGCAACTCATATTTCTTCTAATTTCATGCACATCCACAAACCAATGAAGCATGAAGTCAACAACAACAACAAAAAAAAGTACCATCGTGTCTTGCACTAGATTTATTTTTTCTTTCAAGGTAATATTTACTCGTTTTAATTGATATGAATTTTATTATTTAACTATATTCTAAAAAGTATTTCATGGAAGAATGTCTAAAACTGTACTTTTAATAAAATTAATTTTAATTCTAAATGACTTTTCCTTTGAAAAATGATAACATATTTCCATAGACAATCATTTTCTTTATTTCACCAAAGAAAAAAAAATGATTTTTTGCACTCATCAAAAACAAACACATAACGTTTCATTTAACGTTGATCGATTGATTTATTTATAGTTCGTGATTTTTTTTTTTCAGTGTATCTACCAAGATTGAAATGTTTAGTAGGAAATGATAGATTTTACTTTGATTTAAATATAGAATTGTCTTCATCGATCAATTAATTGTATCAATGAAAACTTCAAACTTATTAATATAATAGAATCATAATAGATATTTCTACTAGTACAATGTTTTCAAAAGAAAAGATTATCCGTATCTGACCTTGACAATACGATATCTCAAATATTGTATTTATTCTTCTGATTATCTTTGACTTTCTATTTACATAAATTGTACGGATATAAAAAATTGAAAATCGCAATATATGATTCATTTAAATCAACTTTAATAAATCATCATGACCATTTTCATTATTGAAGAGAATTTTAATGCTCTTCATTTATTAACTTTCATATATTTTATTTGAAAAAGTTTATGATATATATTACAATAATTTTGCTTCTTAATACACAAATGACTTTTTGTGATGAAAACTAGATCTCATCTCAATAGAAAAAAAAGACACTATTTATTTGACTATTGAATTCTCTATCAAAGTAACAATTATTTCCCTATAGTTATTTAATAAAACAAAATTATCATAAAGAATATTTGTTATACAAATGATGTTTATAACAAATTGATCTAGTAGTGTTATTTTACTGAAAACTGTGAAAAATATGTATGACGTATCTTATTTCGCACTAAAAATACAGAAAATTTCGTCTTAAAATTTTTTTTTCTTTCATGTGCCTCTATAATGGTATCCACATTTTCCCTTAATTCGTTTGTTTCCCTTAAACGGTTACTACAGGCGTTCTTAGTTGATTACCGAGTAGAGGACGTCAGTTGATAGTTACAATATATAAGCAATTTTTTAGAGTGAATAGAAAACCATCGAAAATGATGATAGTTAAATAGAAGAAATATTCATTTGCATAAATTCAAAACGTTATTGTTTTATTTTTATGTCAGTAGATTTAATTTGAAATTTTTCGTCTTATTCATGCTTACATATTCTATTGATATACAGGGTGAGTCAAGATAACAGTCAGTGGCGGAGTCAGGATTTTGAGCTAGAAGGGGTTGAGCCCCCAAAATTTTTTCAGTCTCTCTTAGGGCGAATGAATTCCCCGTTTGTCAAATTAGAATAAGCTTTTTATGATTATTTTTCCTCAGGTTACAGTTGTAAGCCAACGGGCTGAGCGACTATCGGCGCTGATTTTTTGAAAAAGTTTCCAACAGTCGATAGCTGTAAAATTTCTAACTGTCGGTCACTGCCATAACCTAGAAATAAATACGAAATTTTTGGATATTTTTGAGTACCTAAGATAACTTTACATGGATCTTCTGGTGTATTGTATCGTTAGAACTGTCTCTTCTGTCATTATTTCTGTTTTCTACTTAAAATTTTCTCGAAGTTAATGAAATTTTTGAAAAAACTAACGAAAATTTCGCCACCAACACCAAAAATGATTACAAAAACAAAAAAGTTTCGGTTACTGCTGTCGATCAATACATTGGCTCACATTTCTAGCTATAGACGAAGCTAACGATGCGACAACTACAGGTGTTGTTGAAGAAGATCATTGAATGTAATCATTTTTGATTGTTTGTTTCTTGGAAGAAACATATGATTGAATACTCAAAATTGCCTTTTTTAACATTGCATGATTTATCTTTGGAAAATGAATCTACTTTAATTGTACAATATATTTGATATTAATGACATTATCTCTTTCTCTTTGATTAGTCCAAAAGCACACTGCCATTGCAGTATATCTTTCAACTATAGACAAGTTTTTTCTCTTAACTTTACAACCATAGGCACCTCTGAATCTCGATACAACTTTATCTATCAGTGCACGCTCGAATCAGGGTGAAACTCGGAGCTGAAACACTCTAAAACCTGACTGAAACTTACATATTTAATGTTTTTTCTTTCTTTCAAAAAGCATACTTGGTTTTCACACAATAAGCTATATCTATTAAAGCGTTTTATTACAAAGACTAATACAGTTCTCTATCAGAAAATACGTTTTTCAAAACTATTACTAGAGGAAACTCAACATTTTGTAGGGAACTAAGCCCACCCTAGCTTCCCTCTGGCTCCGCCACTGTGACTAACCCTATATTTCAACATGAAATATTTACTCGAATAGATTGTTAAATGCAGTTTTTTTATACTCTTTCAAAATAATATATTGAACAACGATATAGACCAAACATTATCGGAAAAATTGTCTTTCATAGCTTTCTTCTCTGACATTTCCGATACGGATTCCAAGACCACTGTTTCTTTTACCCATACTCCAAAGAAGCTATGAGAAAAAGTAGTCACCGTATAGAGCACAATTTGCTCTTTCGAATGGCATGTCGCGGAGTAACTTTTATATTAAGGTGAGTGTGGAGGGGCTCGAAAAAAATAACTTGTTGGATAATTTTAGAAGGATGAAAAATGGTATGCTGTAATTGTATGCTCAACAAAACCTCAATAGATAAATGGAATGGCCTGAAATTTTCCACAGAAATACCAGAGATCATGAGTTATGATGTGGTGAAAATCAGACTATTCTAGCTTATCTAGCTATTGAAATATAAACAAAACAAAAAACTTCTGCTTGCTTGTTGGATAATTTTGGTAGCCACTGTATATCGAATTTCGATTGCTTATTAAACTTGAACGATTATTATTATTATTTATAAATTTTGATTGTGATATATTATGAAATGTATTTGAACGTCGTTTTAACCTTTTCGCGACGGGATTTTTCTACAAACATAAAATGTTTGGTTTTTGTCAAAAAGCTTGAAAAAAAGGATGCATACAGGTATAACAGTACTATGTAATGACGCACTGATTCTAGTAATGTGAGATCGCTTTTATGACCTGATAAGTGCTAGAGCCTTGCAGGATAATCCTACCTTATCCTAGTCTATGGCCGCTTAGAGTACAACCAGAATAGACTAGGATAGTATTAATGTATGAATATTGGAGTAACCACCATGATAGCATTTGAGATGATACCTCAAAAGTAAAGTGCTTTGTCTTATGAATAGATTCCTACCTCTTTTTGTATGAAGACATTTTGCCTCAGTAGCATAACGTAGTATGTCTTAATTTGACAACTTTTGGCTACGGCGCTAAGTACGACTTCTATAAGGTTAGCTAGGACAAGTATAAAAAATATCGAATAAGATAGAGAATGAAAAATCATGCTCTTGCAGAACATTAGTAAAGCAGAGGAATGATAAATGTCACAGAAGTTGTGTAAGCAAAAGCTCAGCCCGTACATATACGGACCCTATGGCAAAAGGGTTAATGATTAAAAAAATTTTTTTTTGTTATAATTTTTGGCGAATTTATTTTTGATAATGATGATGATAAATCATTTGTTTTTATTTGTGGATCATATATAATAAAATCCAGACAAACTTTTGATACACTTTTCGCTGTTAATAATGGTATAAGACCACTAAGAAATTCTATATAAAATATAAATAGCTCCTGATAAATTATTTTTTGTTGATGAATTTTCTATTTCATTATCAATACGTTTCATTGTACATTGTAAACGAAGATGAGATTTTAATGGATAACATACAAATGAACGTATCGTTCATTGTTCTGGTGAAAAACCTTTTATTGTTGAACGATATAAATAAAAAAGATTTTGTTTTAAATTATTTGGTAAGTAAATTTTATCAAAATTGTCTAAGGAATTATTTAGTAAATATTGTTTTATTTTCATCTGAATATTGTTAACATCGACAGTAATGGTTTCTGTGTTATTCATCAGAGATGAGCGAGCCGCGGTTTCACACCGCACCGCCCCGCCCCGTCCCGCCCCGCCGGCGGGGCGGTGCAGAAACTTGACGGGGCGGGGCGGTGACGGTGCGTCGCAAGATCTTGCGGTTTCCCCGCCCCTTGGCAATATTGAGTTTTTTTTAACATTTTTCTTAAATGTTTATTTTTTTTCTATTTCGAAATTTCATCTTTATATACAGGGTGGCCTATAAATAATAGCATAACGACAAGAAGTTTAAATATTTCTACTTCTGGTCATTCAAAAGGATTCAATTTTTTTCATTCGGATAATGTAAATAAATCCAACTGTTAAGTGTTTCAATTGACGTCAACAAAGCAACTTTACTAGTTGTCAAGTAAAAAAATACATATGAAATATTGTGTAGATGACTTTTAGTTGTCGTTTGACAGAATGACTTGAAAAAATTCAAATAAATCTGCTGAATGATACTATATGGATGACATTGAGAGAAATTTCTCAACCAGTCAATTTGAAAGTTAGCAATTACAATGTTTCGAAGTCTCAGACGTGGAACACTGATTTTTGTTGAAAACTTGCCAACTGGGTAACTAAAGGCTTTCAGATACGCGTTTTAGTTATCAAGCACTAGTTCCAGTATTCAAAGTAGCTAGTCCAGAAAGTTTTCTATATGTACATTAATGTAGTATCATTTAGAAGATTTGTTTGAATTTTTTCAAGTCATTCTGTCAAATGATAACTAAAAATCATATACACAATATTTCATATGTGGTTTTTTTACTTGATAACTAGTGAAGTTGCTTTGTTGACGTCAACTGAAATACTTAACAGTTTGATTTACTTACATTATTCAAACGGAAAAAAATTGAGGAGAGTTCTATTACCAACCAAAAAATGAGCCCATTTGCATGAACAGAAGTAGAGCCATTTAAATTTCTTATTGTCATGTCATTATATGTAAGTCACTCTGTATTTAAATTATGCCATTTTATCTCAGGAAATATAATAGTAATTATGAAAAGTTACTAAAAATTTCATGAATAAATGACTTCTGACGACAGACTTTAGACGGGGCGGGGCGGGGCGGGGCGGTGACGGTTTTATTGTTGAATAGGCGGGACGGCGACGGTGTGAAACTTTATCAACGGGACGGGACGGGGCGGTGGCGGTGTGACTTTTTGGCTGGCTCGCTCATCTCTGTTATTCATATTGTATAAACAAATGAACCACATGCAACAAAAAAACAATTTCTAGAAAGTAAAAAATTGATAAAAGATTTACGTATGTTGTTGTTTTTTTTACCATTTGCTATGAGCTCAGCATAGAGCAGATAATAGTTGAGTCTAGAAACAAAAATAGAACATAAATTTTAAAAAATTTTAGTATAAGTACTATGCCATGATGTGTAGAGATGGCAGTGAATGAGAGATATCTTAGCAACTACTGTCCTACAATCTTCACTGATCAAGTGTTTATGATGATCATTTAATTTTCTCGATAGAGAATTCAACATTCATTATCAATTGTGTTTTACAAGATGATCCCAATTCGATCAATTGTCTTCGACCAAATATGATATCACTTGCTGTTTTATTCCTATTCTCTCTTTTTTTTACATAGCGTGATGAAAAAGTTTTCGGAACATGTTTGTTTTTTATTAAATAGATGGTAATTTCGAAAACCTTATTTCATTAAACGTTCAAGTTACTTGTTCTTATTTGTCACACGAAGTCTCATCCAATTAACTCAATTGTTACATATTTTTTGAAATCGAAAATGTGATATGGAATGAGGCTTTCTGGTTACAGCTTGTTTTAAAGATTTGAAATGAGAATCACTGCCTAATTAATAATGAAGATGAGTTTCGATGAATGAGCGATAGTGGCTGAGAAAGAGGGACTCAGGATAGATAAAAATAGACGGTTGATGGATCTAAATTATAATCTCATACATCCATCCACTATCGTTTTCTCATACTAACTCACTTTCACTCTGACCATTAATTGTCCATCCTCAAATCTCCAATATCCGGATTTTTACTCACTTATCATCGTCCTGTCACTTCTCCTGATTGCCACTGATGTATTTTCGCTCATCCTGAGTTTCTTTTTCTCAGCCACTGCCGCTCACCCATCGAAACGCATCCTCACTATTAATTAGGCAGTGATTCTCATTTCAAATCTTTAAAACAAGCTGTAACCAGGAAGCCTCATTCCATATCGCATTTCCGATTACAATAGATATGTAATAATTGAGTTAATTAGATGAGACTTCGTATGACAAACAGGGACAAGTACCTTGAACATGTAATGAAATAAGATTTTTAGAAATTATCATTTATTTAATAAAAACCAAGATGTTCCGAGAATTTTTTGATTAGCCTATGCACATTGTATATTCAAATAAATATGATCATTCTAAATCGTAATGAACAATAATCAGAAGCTCTAATCCATTGTGCATCGTGCTGATACGGATAATCATGCAAAAAGTTGAGTCTCTTTTATTTACAGATAGACTGATACTAATATCAAAGATAAGTTTCCACTTGATTCAGTTCCAAAGAAACACTAACCAATATCATCTCTATGTTTTTATCTTAATTTCGATTTCATCATCTTTCTTTCTCTGTATAATTAAATTTTAGTGCATAGAATATTTCTTTCTTTTTTCTATTAGAAATTAAGTGCAAATTTATAGTCAATACCATACATACTAATTAAATTAATTGTAAGTTAATAAAATTCTTCGTCTAGACTTAGAGATGATGATCCTAAGGGATAAAATCTTCATATATTTCTTTTATTAATATTCTAACTTGATTAATAAACTAGGTCTTTTCTTCTAAAAACTCTCAACAAACGACTTGTGGAATATAAACACGATGTAAAAATTCTCTTCGACGAGTATAAAATATAATTTGATTTGTATAATTAATATCATTTAAATGTTTATGTCCACCAACAGTAAATATTTCTCCAGGTGATGACCAATCAATTTTAATATCTATTTTTAAAATTAAATAAAACAAAAAATATCTCTCTTTTTTTTACTTTGAAGTTCAGTATCAACAACAATCGATGATTGATCTTGATAATTATTAAGAAAAAGTATTTACGTAGGTGAAGTTAGCACCATATTCGAGTAAATCCTTCCCATATTCGCTCAGGAAAGTGTTCCAAGTGTTCCAATCAGTGTTCCAAGTAGAACTCAACGAGCTCTATCTAATGGTAACTTTGGATTTTCCATAACCCAAACCAATCGTGAGAAAAATCCAAAATACTGCTCTTTTTCTAAAGGAAAAACCAAACCTACTTACTAAAACCTGCCCATATTCGTCCAGGAACGTGTTCCAAGTGTTCCAGCCGAGTTCCAAGTACAACGCGACGAGCTCTATCTGATGGTGTTCTTGGATGAATCGTAATCCAAATCATTGGTGAGAAAATCTCAAAATAGCAGATTTTCACTATGTATATGGTTACTAAAACCTGCCCATATTCGTCCAGGAACGTGTTCCAAGTGTTCCAACCCGGTTCCAAGTACAACTCAACGAGCTCTATCTAATGGTAACCTTGGATTTTCCATAGCCCAAATCAATCGTGAGAAAAATCCAAAATACTGCCGTTTTTCTATGGGAAAAGGCAAACCTACTTACTAAAACCTTCCCATATTCGTCCAGGAATGTGTTCCAAGTATTCCAACCCGCTTCCAAATACAACTCGATGAGCTCTATCTAATGGTAATCTTGGATTTTCCATAGCCCAAATCAATCGTGAGAAAAATCCAAAATACTGCCATTTTTCTATGGGAAAAGGCAAACCCACTTACTAAAACCTTCTCAAATTCGTCCAGGAATGTGTTCCAAGTGTTCCAACCCGGTTCCAAGTACAACTCGACGAGCTCTATCTAATGGTAACTTTGGATCAATCGTAATCCAAACCGTTGGTGAGAAAATCTCAAAATAGTACCTTTTCACTATGTGTATGATCACTAAAACCTTCCCATATTCGTTTAGGTATGTGTTCCAAGTGTTCCAATCCGGTTCCAAGTATAACTCGACGAGCTCTATCTAATGGTAACCTTGGATCAGCCATAATCCAAACCATTCGTGAGAAAATCCCCAAAATAGTACCTTTCCACTATGTGTATGGTCACTAAAACCTTCCCATATTCGTCCAGGAATGTGCTCGAAGTGTTCCACACTGGTTCCAAGTACAACTTGACGAGCTCTATCGATTGATATCCTTGGATCAATCAAAACACAAGCAGAATTGTCAATGCTGTCTTTTATATGCCGATAGTATCTCGTTAACAGCATATTGTTCTTAATCTATTCAATTCTAAACAGTTTGAGATTTCCGGTGATAATATTTCCGTCCTCAGCCAGCAACAATGACTGTTTTCTGAATATTCTATGTAGTAATGCTTTATAAAATGTCAGAAACTCAGTCAATAGCCTGGTTTTCACACTAAAAAAGCAACAACTTTGGTAGCACAATTTTCGTAAGCAGTTTTCTCCTTTTATAAATGTAAGTGCTGATGAGACTCGTGTCGCATATACCTTTTATATAAAGTGTGTCGAAGGGCTGGGTCTTGACAAAAAAAAATCAAATTTTACCAATTAGTGGAGTTCGTAAATTCATACTTAAAAAATGAAGCAAACAGCTTAAACTGATTTACACGACAAATCAAAAACGCAACTAGTTTCGATAGTTCTACGACTTACGGTGGTAAACCATTATTTCATGATTTCTGTAGAAAGCGTATGGATCGTGAACAATCCGTATACACTAACTGATAGAACTCATCCAGTTGTACTTGGAACCGAGCTGCAACACTTGAACACCTTCCTCGCGGAATATGCGAAGGTTTTAGTGACCATATACATAGTGAAAATCTGGGATTTTGGGATTTTCTCACCAATGGTTTCGATTACGATTCATCCGACGTTACAATTAGATAGAGCTCGTCGCGTTGTACTTGCAACCCGACTGGAACACTTGGAACACGTTCCTGGACGAATATGGGTAGGTTTTAGTAACCATATACATAGTGAAAATCTGCTATTTTGAGATTTTCTCACCAATGGTTTGGATTACGATTCATCCAAGGTTACCATTAGATAGAGCTCGTCGCGTTGTACTTGCAACCCGACTGAAACCCTTGGAACACGTTCTTGGGCGAATATGGGCAGGCTTTAGTAACCATATACATAGTGAAAATCTAGTATTTTGAGATTTTCTCACCAATGGTTTGGATGATGATTGATCCAAGGACACCATTAGATAGAGCTCGTCGAGTTGTACTTGCAACCCGGCTGGAACACTTGGAACACTTTCCTGGGCGAATGTGGGCAGGTTTTAGTAACCATATACATAGTGAAAATCTAGTATTTTGAGATTTTCTCACCAATGGTTTGGATGACGATTGATCCAAGGACACCATTAGATAGAGCTCGTCGAGTTGTACTTG